CCCCCTCCCTCATGGCAGATTGGCCAGGGCCTGCATTTGAGGGATCCGGCTCTTCCCAGCCCCCCCTCCCTCATGGCAGATTGGCCAGGGCCTGCATTTGAGGGATCCGGCTCTTCCCAGCCAGGCTGCCACCCAGCTCACCTCCTGCTCCAGCTCGTGGAGCCCAATGCTCCTACAGACCCGCGCCAGCTCCCGCTTGCCGAGGTAGCCCGTGCCCCCGACATCGAGTTCTTCCCAGATGTCCCGAATCTGCCCCTCCGACATGCCAAAGCGGGGGCTGTCCGTGCGTCCGGGGCTGCCCAGCCGGCCCGGGTCCCAGGTGCTCACTTGACCTGCAGTGAGGAACCGTTCAGCAGTTACAGCCCCCTCTCCTCCAGAGCACGGGGCACCCAGAAAGCCACTCGACTCAGCTCTGCCCTGCCACCACGGGCCCCTCCGGGCTGGGCCATGGCACGACTGGAAAGTCTCCAGGGTTGGCTGCGCCCTCGAGACCAGGCGGGGTTCTGTAGGAAGAGCAGTTCTTCTCGGGGCGGTTTCCTAGCAGGGATCCTTGACTCGGCTGCTGCTGAGCCCGCTCCACGCTCTGCCACGGACCATCCTCTGGACACAGATCTCGACCAGCCACCTGCTGGACTCCTCTAAGCCATCGCCACAAAAAGGAGGCCCCCCGCCCCCCGATCCCGTCACAAGGGGCTAGGCCACGAGCACAGAAAGGCCGGTTCGCCCCGCCGCACTTTGCACGGGGAACGCGCGCCGACATTTCCTCCTGTGGGTCTGTAGCATCTTCTGCTTCTTCCTCGGATTTCAGGCTCTGCAGAAACATGGGGTGAGGCGGGTTAAGAGTGACGTGGAAATCGGGGGGGTGATTTAGGGGAAAGGGCTGGCAACCGCGTGAAAAACCCACGGCCCAGAGACGACCTCGTAAACGCCCCATTACCAAGTACAAGGCGCTCGCTCATCTGTCCCCAGGAGCCCAACACGCCACACGCAAGCCTGGCTCCTCCTGCTCTCCAGCCGGGGCGCCCCACAGCACGACCGTCGCCAGCGCGCAGGCCCAGCCTGGAGGGGTTACGCTGACCCGCTCTAGCGGCCCTGGGACCCTCAAGACACACTGAAGGGGTCTGGTTTTCACCAGCCCTGTGACGAGCCGGCCCCATTTTACCCGTCTGCCCCAGGCAGCGGCCAGCCTTTGTCTATCCTCACCACAGGGCAGGGCAACGATCCCCAGTGAATGGGTGGGAACTGAGGCACAGGGAGCTAAGTGACTGGCCCAAGGCCATACAGGCAGTCTGTGGCACCGCCAGGAACTTACCCTGGGTCTCCCACACCCTGGCAGCACTAATCACCAGGTAACACTTCCTCTGTGACGCTGGTGTCCTGAGGTGGGTTCAAACAACCGGCCGCCCCGGGGTAAAGCAGGGCCCCGCCCCAGAAAGCAGCGCTAGGGAGCAAAGGCCTGAAGAGGCCACAGAGTGCGCTGTTCTACACGCCAGCCAGGCCCCGCTGGAAGGCCGAGCCCAGCCCCGCGCGATGGCAAAGCCAAACCCATCTCCTAGCGGGCAGGCACCAGAGCGACAGACCAAGGTCTGCCCCAGCGGCTCGGGATCCACC